GTGAGCTACCATGTGGGTGCTGGGAATTAAACCCAGGTCCTCTGGAAGAACAACCAATGCTCTTAACCGCAGAGCAGTCTCTCCAACCCCCCACTTAATGATTTTAGGAGAGTAGTTCAGCATTGTAACTATTGAAAGTTAGCATAGGATTCACTCAGCAGTGGTTAAGTTCAGAGTTATATGCCTAGGCATTGTCATGTTATTTAATTGTACATTAAAATGAATTACGTTGGGCAGAAACAATGTGAACTCTGGGTAATAAATACAACAGTCTGTTTCGGTCCTATTATTAATGGGTCTGTGCCTGTATGCTGTGTGCGTGCAAGTGCCCAGAGAGGTCAGAAGAAGACATCACATCCTACAGAGCAGCTGTTCTAGGTAGTGGTGAGTATCCAGTGTGGGTGCTGGGAACCAAACTCGGAGACTCGGGGAGAAAAGCAAATGAACTTAAGAGCTGGGCTGTCTCTCCAGCCCCCTTTTCAGTTACTTTTTAAAAGATTTGTTTTTATTTTTATGCATGTTATATGTGTGTATGACTGTGTGAATGTATGTCATGTGGGCACAAGTGTTTGGAGAGGCCAGAAGCAGTCATCAGATTCCCTGGAACTGGAGCCATCCTGTATTTGTATCCAGTCTCTAGAACAATCCTCCATTAAGCTTTAGACACTGTGTTCACAATATTCCTCTTCCACCAGCTGAGTTCTACAACTGTATGCCAACAACACACACACCACATAGGCACCTACTCCACTAAAATTCTCTATCGATGGCCAACGATTTAGTTAAAATAGCCAGTGACTTCATTTATCCACTAACTAGCTTGGAATGAAACCACCATGTTTATGAGGGAGCCCGTGTAAACATTCTTCTCATCACAACTACAGTCTTCTCCAAAACTGAGATAACTGTGTCTCTGAGCTTGCTGTGCCTCCCTGCAGTGCATGTCTTAATACAGCTGCTGCCGTTTATATACAGTGTTCTATCATGTTGACTCCTAAGTGTTGTTCTCTCTGCTAGGTTCATCCATGTTATCACATGGTGCTCTGCTCCATTTCCCCTGCTGTGTGCGATTTTGTGTATGAGCATACAATAATTTGTGATGGGGAATGTACTGTGTATGTTTATCTTATTGATTGTTAAATAAAATACTGTTTGGCTAATGAGAAAGCAAGTTAGATGGGACTAGAAGTCACAGAGGATTCTGGGAAATGTAGTAGATAAGTGGTGATCCAGGCAGGAAGTGACATAGCAAGGAGACTCATATATAAGCGAGGAAACAGGAAGTAGCTTCTTTTCCCATTCACATCCTCCAGCAGCAGGATGTGAGCCACCAGCAAGGAAGGACGCCAATAAGAGGTCCGATAAGATAAGTCTTATAAAATATATAGATTTATGATAATGAAGACTGAGCTAACAGATGAGAATCCTAGTCATTGG